GGGCGGAGGGGGTTGCGCGGAAGCGGGCAGGGGGTGGGAGGGCGGACAGGGGGGACGCACCGCGGAGGGGAGGAGGTGTCGCTTGCTGAAAGTTGGTGTCACGGTTCATGCATGCGGGCGATTTTTGTAAGCAAAAGGGGGGCGGCAGGCGAACAACTCAGGGACGGGCGACGCCAGCGCGCACGCATACGGACGAGCCGGCACGGGCATGCGCATGCGTGCGGATACGCGCGTGTGCCGCATGGCGAGCACCTGTCCGTGCCAGCTGGACGTTCCGTCGAGCGTGAACCGCAGGCCGCCCTTGCTGGAAGGGATGCCTGGTTGGGCGTGGGCCGTTTGCAGCTCAGCGCACAGAGACGGGCAAGAGCTTGTCCCCACCAAACTACAGCGAAGCACGCGGCTCGAGCAGGGCAGGGACAGACGCAGCTGCCATGCTGACACCCAGCAGGCTTTGACGCGGCAGCCATGCCCACACCCAGCAGCCGTGCTGAGGGGCTGGGTGAGGCCAGCTGGACGCCAGCTTTGGGGCCTCGCCGCGGCAACTCACCTGGGTTGCGATAAGCGGATGATGACTTGATGTAATCCGTGAACTTCTGCCCTTTGGCATCTCCAAATATGTATACGGCAAACCTGCAGAGAGGGACGCCTGCTTGTGTGCAGTGCTTCGCCCTTTTGAACCGGCGCAAACGCCGCAAGTGCGACAGCTCTGATGCTTCAGCTCCAGAGGACCAGCAGCACCTGCAAGCGAGATCACATGCACTCACTTGCCCTGCTGGCGTGCCCAGTCCCACTTGGCGAGCTCAGCAGCATCCGCGTTGCGGCCGTCCCAGATGATGTTGGCACCGCTGCTCGGCGCCACCACCATCGACAGCACCAGGAGCGCACTCATCGTGGCAGCAGCTGGGTCATAGCGTTTGCTTCTATGCACGTAACACCGGCGCCAAGCGCCCATTGGCGATTATGTACCGTACAATATCGCTGTATGAAGAGATCTGAGCGGGACCGAGTGCGAAGCCGGCCGCTGGAAGCTTTACCTTATACAGGATGATAATATAATTGTAGTTGTTCTCTCTAGTCAAGTTGGGGTGCATACGCAAGCCTTCTAGAGCGTGCTGCCCTCATCACTGTATCATATCAGGAAGTGCTATGATAGTGGGGATACAGTGCCCTGTCGCGAGTAACACGGGCGCATTCACATCATCACCTGCCACCCTAGTTCCCAGCACTCGTTGGCATAAAGTTACTCGGCATCTGGGATTGGAATTGCAGGGTGCGGGCCCAAGGCGCTTTGCCTGTCATCCTTGGTCGATGCCACAGTCAAACTGCTGATGAAGAGCCCCGTGGCTTCAACTGTTGAGAGTGTTTCTCCTTGCACTGTGAATCTTAACACACTTGTACTTTTGAAGCTGCTTTTAGGTGTTTGTAGGGTATCCGCCAACCCACAGCTGCAGCCATCCGCTGGTGCTTTTGAGCTTTGGCATTCAACACTTTTGCTGCCCCCCAGGCTGCTATGAATGAACCCAGATGGAGCTGCATTGAGACTGGTCACACAGGAGCGCTTTGTGACCTCCCGGTGTCGTGAACAGTTTTGACTCAAGCAAGCAATTGTACCCATTCAACAACTGTGAGCAACTGCTGGTAGAGCACGCCTCAGCATGCTGAAACACATCCATGCTCCACACATCCCACCCCCCTCCAAACTGCTTGGCTTCTGCAGGGGTATCACTCTCCCACAGTGTGCACTTCAGCTACCACCCCCATCCACTCAACAACAGAGCACTGCTGCCTCACAAGACCGGGCGTGGCGTGCCATCCGGGCATGGCAGACGGCGCGCACCCACAAGTGAGGCACTGGTACACGAGGCGGCGTGCTTGGGCCGCCCGCCCAGTGCACTCTCCTCACGTTTCAGGGGGGCATGCGTATGGAACTGATTGGCTGCTTGCACTGACTGCGCTATAGCGCACCAGCTTCATACCGGTATGCAAAGCAGAATCACTGATTTGGCAATGCCAGCCTGCTGTGCGACAAGCTTGCTGAGTGGTGCAAGCATCCCGACAACAGACCACCTTCAACTAGGCATCGCGCCCGTGTTGCGCATCAACTGCATCGCTCTCCCGCTGCTGTGCAGCCGCCTCCTGCGCCGCCTTGCAGGCTGCGCGGTGGCTCCCCCAGTGCTGCGTCATGCACGCCTCTCCGCAAAAGCGCACCCGACGGCAGCCACGGCAGAGCCGCAGCCGCACGCCGCTGCCGGCCGCCTCGGTCGCGCCGCAGCCGATGCAGGCTGGCGCCAGAGATGTCTCAGCCATGGCAGGGGGCTGCTGCCGCTGCTGATCCTGCAGTGGCCCCTCCTGCGGATGCCCCTCCCGTAGCTGCCCCTCCGGCAGCTGCTCTTTTCGCAGGCGCGCCTCAGCGCCTCGCAGTCGCTCGCACAGCCGCTGCGCCACGTCTTGTGGGGGCCAGTCGTGCTGCCAGGCAGGGCTGTCCAAACAGCACGACACAACAGAAAAACGGCCCTGCGCAAGATCCCCGGAATCCAGAAGCTGTTCTAGAGCGTGTGCCAGCTCTGGTGCGGCCTTGGAAATCAGGCGTGCGGCAGCGTCAGGATCAACAAGGGACGAGGCCGCGGCCTCAGTCGCCTGAGCCAGTTTGACGGGCCAGTAAGGGTGGAAGTCCGGCTTGGCCCGAGCACTGGTGGGCGAGATGGCGCCGATGACGCGCCACAGCGCGCTGGCCATGTCGGGCAGCAGCGCGCCGGCGACGACGCGCGCATGCTTGGGGTCTGTGGATGGGCAAAGCAGCAGACGACAGACGACAGCCCCGACATGGTCGAGCATAGCGAAGCCAGGGTGACATGGCACCTCGGGCCGTGCGACTGCGGCGATCGCCGCTGTCAAGCTTGTGTCGCAGGGCCGCTGGTCAGATTGAAGATGCTCTCGAAGCGCCGCAAGCGCGCGTGGCGAGCCAGCCAGCAGCCTGGCTAGCTCCATAGATCTGCGGGCGTCGCTACATATGGTGCAACTCAATGTGCAAAACGCACGCTGCGCGCAGAGCGTCCCCACAGCATCGGTGCGCCACAGCACTGCGAGCAGCGCAGGCAGGGCCGCCTGGCCGGCGGCCTGCGCGCCCGCAGCATTACGCACGAGCGCCCTCAAAGCCTCCAGGCTGTAGCGCAGCCGGCCGCCGTCGAGCCGCTGGTGCGTCACCAGGCGACACAGCTGCCCCACGCCCCCAGCGGCGCAAAAGAGTTCTGCGGTTGTGAGCCGCACGAGGATTGCAGTCGGCATCACCACAAGTTGCCGGGAACACTTGAAGCTGGGTTTGGTGCACAGAGAGTGACGCTCAGGCAGCTGCATGCAAAGGGCATCCGTCCCCCCCCCTTCGGCAGCGTGCTTCCCACGCATGCGCCGCGCCGGGTGATGCCAGCGTCATACCTGCCACCATTTCGGAGACTGCCGGGCACGCCAACAGGATGGACAGCACCTTGCAGGCAATTGTTGGAGTGCCATCTCTTTTAGACGCCATCAGCCGCGCCACTGCAGGGACAACTTGGGGCAGAGCATCCAAAGCCGCGGGCGCTGGCGGGCCCGCCGCCGCCACCGCCGCCGATGGGTGCAAGCCCATGGCGCTGGTGGGATTGCAGCACCATGCGACAAACTCTGCCGCCCAGGCGGCCGCCGCGTCGAGCGGCGTTTCATCTTTGAATGGCGCCGCTGCTGCCAGCGCGGCCGCCGCGGCGATGGCGGCTGGGTTGCGGCGCGCGCGCTCGCAGATCGCGGGGCTCTCCTCGCACAGGTTGCACAGCGCGGAAAACGTGACGATGTGAAGGCAAGTCTCCGCAGCGTGGTTGGCCCGGACGTCCAGACGCCGCCGCGTGGCGAATTCTAGCAAGAAGGCGGCGGCGCCGCCGCCGTCTCTGGCGCCGCCGAACGAAACCAGGGCGCCCCTGGCGGCGGGTACGTCGCTGAACGCCTGCAGCACGACCACGGCTGTGTTCTCGAGGGGCGCGTCTGCACCGCATCCCATAGGGCCGGTGAAGCGGCGCGCGGCGGACACCAGGGCCGCGATCATCCCGGGCCAGGTGGCAAGCTGCGTCACAGGAGCGGGAGAGCGCTCATGTGGCTAATGGGAGCAGGGGGCTGCTCGGTGCGGGGGGCATGTTGGGTCTGCTAGTGGGGCAGGCCGACGTCAAGGAGCAAGGGTATATGCAGCCAGCCCGTTGCAGGACGCCCCGCACGTGAGCGCCCGCGAAGCCCCGCGCCGCACCCACCTGTGACATGCGGGAGTCTCTGAAGTCTGTGCGCAACTCACGCTCATTAGCAGTAAGGGCGTACATCATTCTTGCAGCGTACCCGGCCTGCACCGCGCTGTCAGCTGACAAAAGCCGCACCAGGCCCTCCACCAGGGGAGCCGGCAGACGCGGCGCCCGGTCCACCAAGGCTGCAGACATCACAGCTTGTAATGCGCTGCCTGCATCGCGGCAAGTCGACACGGATCCTGGCCGGCGCCGCAGCACGGGCTCCAAAGCGAGGGCGTCGGCCACAGCGCGTGCAAGCGGTGATGAGGCCTCAGAGCCGCTGATGGCGGCACCCATGCCTTGATATTCCTGAGTGTGAAGGTTACGAAAAACGTTGTGATAGAAGAGAACCGAGCTCGTTTCCCGTTTCCCGTTTCGGCGATCTCCCAGATCCCTGGTATGGGTCCGATGTAGATTAGATACGTTTTAATATGTACAATCTAATTGTACCTGCAGGATCGAACGCCTTCACTTTCGTATCATGCCGGCACAGCACGCAAGCACTGCTCAACTGCTCAACTGAGCAGCAGCAATTGCGGCAGACATGCGGAAGTATTGTTGGAACGAAAAAAATTGTTGTCTAAAAGCAGCCGCCGGCAGAAGGGAGGCCGCGGCTGGCCTTGAGGCCGCATCTGGCCTTGAGGCCGCATCTGCCCTGGCCCATGCACTGCAACGGTATGGCATACCGTTGGCCGCGCCAGAGCAGGTGCGCCGCAGCACACGCCTGACGCGGCATCCACTCACCACGAAGCGTACCTCGCTTTGTAAGACATACATACCGTCACTACTGAGGGTGGGGCACCGTTGCAGCCGACAGCTCCAACGGCAGAGGGGCTGGTGCGGTTGCGTGCAACTGGGGGGCGGCCTTCGCCGCGTTGCGGTTGAAGCAATCGCTGCAGCCTGCTCTGAGAGCAACAGGCGCCCGAACCACCTCGCATGACTTGGGTGGCCGCAAGGTAGCAATTATCAAGCATTGTGCGACCAACTTGCGTTTGCGCACGCAGTATTGCAAGATAGGACTGCTGCCTGCCAACGGCCAGGATAGCGCACTGCTGCTCAGAAGCAGACCGGGCTTGCTGCGACAGCATTCCACCCAACAGTCGCTCTTGAAGCTTTTCAAAGCAGCACGGCAGGTCGGGGCACTGCATGTGCCATGCAATTGCATGCTGGCCTGGCACAACTGTCGCGCTGGCGTCCTGTGGTTGACCCGAGCAGCGTTGCCCCTTGTGACCTCATGAATTAGTGTTGAGATTGTTACAGCGTCCCGCAAGCGCCCGCTTGTGGAGCCGTCCAGACTCATGGGATTGAACATGGTGTACATGTTATCGTAAAACTAAAGGCAAGACAAAAGCGAAGCCTCTTCACACATTCCGAAACTGCAAGCAGCTCCTGCCAGAGCACGCTTCAGCCTTCACATCATCAATCGCCTCCAAAAAATCCCCACATCCAAAACCCCCCCAGAACTGCTTGACGACTGAATGGGTGCAACCCGCTTTGCGCACCAGCTTCACATGCAGAAATGGCAATTATTACTGCCAGCGTGCTGATGGGTGCCAGCATTTCGCCGTAAGGCCGCCTCCAAACAACCCCGCCG